AGATATCAGATATATAAGATATATGAGATATCAGATATATAAGATATATGAGATTTCAGATATATAAGATATCAGATATATAAGATATCAGATATATAAGATATTAGATATATAAGATATATGAGATATCAGATATATAAGATATCAGATATATAAGATATCAGATATATAAGATATCAGATATATAATATATCAGATATATAAGATATCAAATATATAAGATATCAGATATATGAGATATCAGATATATAAGATATCAGATATATAGGATATCAGATATATACGATATATCAGATATCAAGAATATTTTCATTGAAAGAACCAAAAACAATTTAAGATTTACTTGTTTTTATTACATTTTTGTTAATTCATTAAAATTAACCGTAGATTTTATTTTATTGTATTTTTATTACTATGATGTGAGTTTTTGGTTTGAAGAATTAACTATAATTATGTTTACTATTTAGTGTAATTAGAGGTTTTAAATTAGCAGAAGTCACCGACAAATAGACGATTAGACAATTAGACGATTAGACGATTAGATGATTAGACGATTAGACGATTAGACGATTAGACGATTAGACGATTAGACGATTAGATGATAAGATTATTAGATGATTAGAGGATTAGACGATTAGACAATTAGACGATTAGACAATTAGACGATTAGACAATTAGACGATTAGACAATTAGACGATTAGACGATTAGATGATTAGACTATTAGAGGATTAGACGATTAGACGATTTGACGATGAGACGATTAGACGATTAGACAATTAGATGATTAGATGATTAGAGGATCAGACGATTAGACAATTAGACGATTAGACGATTAGACGATTAGACAATTAGATGATTAGACTATTAGAGGATTAGACGATTAGACGATTTGACGATTAGACGATTAGACGATTAGACGATTAGACAATTAGATGATTAGATGATTAGAGGATTAGACGATTAGACAATTAGATGATTAGATGATTAGAAGATTAGACGATTAGACTATTTGCACTGATCGGAGTCTAAATACATGAGTCCAACGTTTCAGAATAACTGAAAAGGACAGGAGTTGTTGCTAAAAACTCACATTTTTTATTTTTTCCAGATTCTTAATCAAAGGAACTTTGTCTGATCAATAATTTGAAAGATATTGTCATTTGTATAGCTTGAAAAGAGTTAAATTCTGATAATTCCTTTATATTTTGTTGCAGTAGAAATGCGCAAATCGCTGTAGAAGAGTACTCCAGTAAGGGTGAAATTACACTTAAAGTCCCTTCAAGTGTAAATAAAATGAAGCGTTGATTAGAAATAGCATTTTTTTAGGGTTTATGAGACCATTCCCTTTATTTAGAGTACAAGCCTTATAGGGCGCTTCGCGCCCATCTTCTAAATTAATTGTGAACATGTTCTCTTTGTGTACNCCTACCCTAATTAACAAAACTGCTTTACTAATACTTTAGTTGGTTGCATATAGGGGGGGGGCGGCAATGTAAATTCTGTTGAATTTTGTATCAATTGTACACAATCAAAACTGATTTTGGAGCTACAGAAATGAATTTATCAATTTTAATTTTTTTTAGCAGTTTTATATACCATCAGCTATCAAGCATGCATGATGATCATTGATCAGTAATGCTGTTCTGTTATTTTTTTAATTTGTACAAATAAAACTTTTTTGGGGCATTTAAGACCATGGGCGTTAAAACAAAACAAATTTAAATGGAAATCAAATTGAATTATGCTTTTTTTGTTTTCTTAAAATGAATATTAACGTTTAAATTGCAGCAATGATTGAAAGATCAAAAAGAATTCTATTTAAAAATAATATGCATGGTATTATTGAGATGGATTTGTTTGTAAAAAGTGAATCAACATGAAAGGAACAGAGATGTACAGGAGTAAAATGTCTTCAAGTTTTTAGATCCAACTTTTAAGCAGCTAAAGAGCTTTGATTGTATACAGTTATAGGTTGCCACTTTATAGTTTTATACCTTCCATCGACTTAAATGCATTTTTCCCGGCCCACAATTTACCCATAAGATATCAGATATATACGATATATGAGATATCAGATATATAAGATATCAGATATATAAGATATCAGATATATACGATATATGAGATATACGATATATGAGATATCAGATATATAAGATATATGAGATATCAGATATATAAGATATATGAGATATCAGATATATAAGATATC